CCCCCCCCGTTCCCCATCCGCTGCCACCCGAGTCACCGCGGTACGCCCACCTGCCACGGAGGGGGTGCCCCGGGTTGAGCGCGTCCCCCGCTCCCGGCTCCCCGGGTCCCCGCCCCAGGCAGGCGTCCGCGCCCGGATCTTCCCGCCCGCCCCCTCTAGGGGGCTCTGCTCCCACCCGTCCAACCGTCCAGTCACTTGGCGTCTCGTCCTCCCGACTTCCCGCCCGCTCTCCACTTGGCGCCTCATCGTGTGCCCCCTCCCGAACTCCCCTCCAGTTTGCTCCGTAGCCCCACCTCACACCATATAACCCCTCTCCACCTTCCTGGGCCGTTGCCCCTTCACTCGGTGTGCCTGTCCCTGTCTTCCCGCCTGATCCCTGGTGGCGGTCTGTTCTCACCGACGACGCCCATCCAGTCTCCGCTCCTCCAGGTCCCTTGCGGAGTCCTCCCGCCCACCGTACCTCTTCCTCCGGACCCCTCTCGGGCCTGACGTCCTCGCTCTCCACCCCCTCGCCCCCATGGTCCCAGAGCCCGGCCCCGCCAACAACAGCACCCCGGACTGGGGGTCGCGGCCGCCTTCGGACCCCGCAGGCAGCGGCTGGGTGGCGGCCGCGCTGTGTGTCGTCATCGCGCTGACGGCGGCGGCCAACTCGTTGCTCATCGCGCTCATCTGCACGCAGCCCGCGCTGCGCAACACGTCCAACTTTTTCCTGGTGTCGCTCTTCACCTCGGACCTGATGGTGGGGCTGGTGGTGATGCCGCCGGCCATGCTGAACGCGCTGTACGGGCGCTGGGTGCTGGCACGCGGCCTCTGCCTGCTCTGGGCCGCCTTCGACGTGATGTGCTGCAGCGCCTCTATCCTCAACCTCTGCCTCATCAGCCTGGACCGCTACCTGCTCATCCTCTCGCCGCTGAGCTACAAGCTGCGCATGACGCCCCCGCGCGCCCTGGCGCTTGTCCTGGGCGCCTGGAGCCTGGCCGCTCTCGCTTCGTTCCTGCCCCTGCTGCTGGGCTGGCACCAGCTGGGCCGCGCGCGGGCCCCTGCCCCGGGCCAGTGCCGCCTGCTGGCCAGCCTGCCCTTCGTCCTCGTGGCCTCGGGCCTCACCTTCTTCCTGCCCTCGGGCGCCATCTGCTTCACCTACTGCAGGATCTTGCTGGCCGCCCGCAAGCAGGCGGTGCAGGTGGCCTCCCTCACCACCGGCATGGCCGGCCAGGCCTTGGCGACGCTGCAGGTACCCGGGGTGTGCAGGGAGAGCTGGGCTTGGGGGGATGGAGGGGAATGAGCAGCCACTGGGTACCCACCGGGCAGCGTGCACTTAATATGTGCACTTGGTGGTGACCTCCGAGTGGCCATTTCCAGCTCCCACCCCTCTTCTGTGCTCTAGACTCAATGCTGTCTCTAGGACAGCTCCATCAGCATGTGGGGCAGGCTTCTCGAAGGTTCTATGTGCAAAAAGGGAATTCAGGGGGTCCCAGCCCTCCCTCCCTACTCTTTTCCCGTCTTTCCCATCATGGCAAATGGCAACATCGTGGCATCACCCGACAGAAAGTTAGGAATAATTTTTCTTCCTCATGCTCATGGGATTCATTTGCAAAGACTGTTGGTGCTGCCTTCCTAAAGCTGTGCCACCTGTAATGCCACCCTCCCCATCTAGGCCACCAGTGATTCTTACCTGGAGGCCTTTTCTAGTCTCCCACTGGCTTCCCCTGCCTCCACTCCAGGCCCACTCCTGTCTATTCCCTGCATAGGAGCCACAACAATTTACAGAACGAAAGTGATCCCATCATTCCTTTTTTTTTATTGTTTATTTATTTATTTTGAGACAGAGAGAGAGACAGAGAGAGAGAGAGAGAGTGTATGTGTGTGCTCACACACACTAGGGGAAGAGGCAGAGAGAGTGGAGAAAGAGAGGAAAGAGAGAGAGAATCCGAGGCAGGCTCCGCTCCGTTGGCACAGAGCCTGACGCGGGGTTTCGATCCTACGAACCATGAGGTTATGACCTGAGCCGAAACCAAGAATCAGAGGCTTAACCGACTGAGCCACTCAGGCGCCCCATCACTCTTAAGAGAAAAGAGGAGACCCATGTCAGGATCTGGCCTCGGAATCTGGTGCTGACAAGCTCTCTCGCTTCACCTCCTCCCCTTGCCCTCTCTCCGCACCAGCACGTTGGCCTTTCCATGCTCCTGGAAGGCATCAGATGGACTTCTGTGTCCAGGACTTTGCACTGCTCTTCCCCCTGCCTGGAACGCTCTTCCCCTGGGGCTGCCCTGCCCGACTGCTTTTCAGCTCACAGGTCACCTCTTCCCAGAGTCCGTCCCTGCCCACCCTGTCTTCAGACCCGTCTGTGCTCCCTCACTCTGTTATTCTCTATCCTGACCACAGGTTTATCTGTTGACTTGCTCATTGTCAATCTCCTCTACTACAGTGTAAGCTCCATGAGGGCTGGGAACATCTGGGTAGGTTTTGATCCCCACTGTACATAGTAGGTGCTTACTAATTACTCGTGAGTGGTAAGGGCCTGCAGTGTCTGGAGTAGACTGGCTGCTCTTGTCACTCAGGCCAGTTGGCACTGGAGTCTCAGTGCCTATTGTCCTAAACCCCTGACGAATGGGGGTTTAGGTTGACCAGGCCTGAACCCCAGAGAGTTAGGTCACAGGCTCCGAGGAAAGTCCTGGGTGGGCCCTCCAATCTTTTTTTTTTTTTAATTTATTTATTTTGAGGGTGGGGGGGAGCGGGGCAGAGAGAGAGAGGGAGAGAGAGAGAATGCCAAGCAGGCTCTGCATTGTCAGTGCAGAGCCCGATGTGGGGCTCGAACTCACCAACTGTGAGATCATGACCTGAGCTGAACCGACTGAGCCACCCAGGCACCCCATCAGCTCTCCAGTCTTTATCTATCTCCAGGTGCAGGAGGCTCCTGCAGGATCGAGGGGCGGTGCCTGGAGGTTTGGGTGGTTGGGGGCTGAAAGGCAGTTCCACAGAACAGCTTGCCTGTCCCACGCCAGCAGTGTGGCTGGCCCATAAACCGGGGGAACAGGCCTTGGGTGGACAGGAGGTCCTGGCAAAGCAGTCCTATTCCCTCCCTCTATCTGTGCTTGTTGGAGAACATTCTTGAATCTCAGTAGGTGGCTGTGACCCTGACTTGGTTCTCCAGTGGTAGGACGGCTGCCTTGGGCCATCCACACTCTCTCCCTGGGTTCTTGTAAAGGAGCGTTTCCCAAACCTCAGGCATCTGGAACCACCTTGGAATATCTACCTTCCTTCTTTCCACCCACCCGCACGCCTCAAGTGGCTGCCTCCCTATGTACTTAGCATTTTCTCTAGATCATTTCACTTATCTTTTTACTTCCATGCACTTGTTTAGAAAGGAAACTTCTTATCTCTTCTGGAAATGGAAACTCAGTACCTTTGCCATAAACGGAAGGCAATCACAAAGACAGCTTCAGTGAGCGGCAGGAACCCCAGCAGTGTTATTGAAGTCCAGCTTGGCGTGATTGGAGTGGCCGAGCCCCCAGGCCCGCTTTCTCTCGGGTGTTAGCGGGATGTTAAAGGCACAGCGGCACGAACACGAGACTTTCTCTGGACGTGACCAGAAGAGCTGGGAGGATGCTGGACAAGCCTCATGTTCTCACTCTGTGATTCAGTTATTTTATGGGTCCATTTACCATCTAGGGTCATCTTCCACTTTTGTACTTTGGGAGGTTCTGCTCTAGTGGTGACTAAGGATGTGACGAGCTGGCTGGTCTTGGTGAATCTGGGGTGGGACTGGGCTGGATTCTCCATTCCGACGGTGTTTATGACCCATTTTTCTTTCCATGAAGCCAGTCGGCTGGCACCAGGATTGCACCTGAGACTGTGGCCTCGGGACCTGGGCAGGAATCCCCCCGGGGTGCTGACAGCTGCAGCCCCACAGTCTTTGAGCACTCACTATGTGCCGGGCACCGAGCTAAACTCATCCCCCAAACACCCACCCGGGCAAGGACCACCATCATCCCGTTGGACAGATGGGGAGAATGAGGTTCAGAGAGAGAGGAAGTGTCAGACCCCACCGCTGACCTTGCTTCCAGAACCACTCAGCCCCTCGGCAAGCCTCCTCCATGCCTGCTTTCCTCATTTCCCGGACACTTGCCTGCATTTGGGGAATTTGTTTCTGGACTCTTGCCTCTAGTCCATCTTTCTGGGTCACCACCCCTTTCCTCCCATCCAAGCTGACCTGCCTCAGAGACCGAGCTTTCAGCCGGCAGCGGGGGGCTCTCAGTGCCAGCAGGAGCTGATGAGAATGAACAAAACTCGGGGTGCACTGGACCCCTTTCCTCCTGTCCTCAGCCTCGCTTAGCCCTTAGCTCCCTCCCTTCCCCAGTCCAGCTGCTAGCTTCCCCACGAGGGAGGGGTGGGGGACATGTGTTTCTGAGGCCCCAGCTCCTCTGGGGTTGAGGACATGGTACCCGAGCGGGCTTGAGCATTTTACTCTCTCCCGCTACCTCCCACCTCTACCTAGTTATTTGAACGGGGTTTTCTGAAGCCACTGGTTAGCTTGGTGGTTTCAGCTGCTGTCCCTGCAGCCGTGAGGAAGGGGTCCCACTTACAGCTGAGGCAGGGATTGGGCTGGGGGTGAAGAGAGGGGCGTGGGAAGAGTGGTGTCAGAGTGAGATGCTTGGAGGGCAGGGGGAGAGAGAGAGAGATCTGTGCCAGGGTGGGCTGGTGCCCATCCTCGGGAGGGACCCACATGGGAGCTCAGCGATGGAGAGCATCAGGAGAGAAGGAGGTCTGCCTGAGACTTTGCCTTCCCAGCTGTCTCAGCGCCAGGACCTGTGCCTCTGGTCTGGAGCCCTCTCCCTTCTGTCTTCCTCGGCACCCTCATCTTTCTCCCCTTCTCCCATCCCTCTCTCCAGATCCACCTCGCCCCCTTCTCTGCCTTCCTTCTACATCTCCCCATCTTCCTCTCCCCCCGTCTCTCCCATCGGCTTCTCCCCCTCTCCTCCTCCGCCCTCACCCAACTCTGCACCACTTTGTCTCAGTGATCTGCCTTCCCTTCCATCGCTGTCCTTCCTCCTCCTCAGAAGAGGCTGTGATCACAGAAATATCTCGGGGGCGGAGGAGGGGGCTGAGCTGGGAAAGGGTTGCAGAGGAGCAGTGCTGAGCATGGCAGCCTCGGCTGCTGCTGGGAACAAGGTGGTCCGGAGCAGCCAGAGCTGGTGCAGGTGCTTGTACATCCGGCTGGTCAGGGGTTCGGGTCCTGCCTCCTTCCCATCGCTGCTGATGACTTTGGACCAGGTCATTCACCTCCCTCTACCCCAGAGTGATGCCATGTATCACATGAGGCTGTTTGAAGAATCAGTGAGATAATATATATAAACCTGGCACATACTGGGTGCTCAACCAGTGGTAGTTTCCCCCCTTTCCTCTTGGTGGTAAGATATATGGTTCTGGAGAAGTTATCTCTTCAAGCCTTTCTAGGGGAAATCCCCACTATTGCCATCAATAGCAGCCACATCACCATAATCAGAGCGTTGAGATGGACTCTAATAACAGAAAAGATAGCTGACTCTTACATGGTGCTTACTATGTGCCAGGTGCTGTTCAAGGGACTTTATGCATATTATCTTAGTTAATCCTGACTACAATCCTACGAAGTAGATGCCATTACAATTGCCATTTTACAGATGAGAAAGCTGAGGCTCAGAGAGGTGAAATACCTTGCTTGAGGCCACACAGCCAGTGAGTAACAGAGCCATGATTTGAATCCAGACGATTCTGGCTCCACAGTCTGTCTGAGAACCCTTATGCTAGGAGTAGGTGATTGTGGAAAATTTAAATCACACAAGGGAATACATAAATACGCTTTAAAATAAAAATTCAGGAGGTGCCTGGCTGGCTCAGTGGGTAGAGCATGTGGCTTTTGATCTTGGGGTCACTAGTTCAAGCCCCACATTGGGGGGTAGAGGTTACTTAAAAAATAAATAAATAATAAATAAAAGTCTGGCCATAGGGAGAAAATGTAAGACCCTCTCAAGTTCCACCCAATCACCTTCCATTCCCAGGGACACTCTTATCAATTTAAGATATGTCTTTCCACTCCTTTTTCTTTGTGCGTCCATATTTGTTGATGCACCCAAAGAGACTTAGTGCTTTGTTTTGTGTATTTCTTCAGCAATGGAATCACGTCATCCCTATTATTTTGCAACTTGCTGTTATCACTTAATATCAGTATTACGTCTTGGAGATCTTTTCATT